AATTCTGATTTTTCTCCTACAGAATTAGATTCTCATTTAAACATTGTCTCTACCTTGCCATCTCCTATACTTGCTTCACTCTTGTCCAATCACCCCATGTCTGATACATGTTCACCACCTTTAATTGAGACAACCAACTTACCACTACAATCAGATATCAATTGTCCTTCACATTCTTTTTCACTAACCAATCTTATTACACCTATTTCCACAGATAAATCTTCTCTTCCTTCTTCTATCATCCCACCATATTTTAGTCCAATTGAACCCCCTGCTTGTGATTCTTCATCTGCAGACACATCAATACCTAATCGTGTGGTTACTCGATCACAAACAGGACACTTAAAGCCAAAAGATTTCTCTGATTTCAAGCTTTTCTATTCTTCTAGACATCCTCTCTGTGCTTTTTCTACTACAATACGTGAACCTGAACCTACTTGTTATACTAAGGCTACATTGAAACCTGAATGGCGTGCTGCTATGGCACAAGAATTTGAAGCTTTAATGCTGAATGGAACTTGGTCACTATGCCAGAGACCTCCTAATCGTCATGTGGTTCGAAATAAATGGGTTTACAAGGTAAAAACGAAATCTGATGGCTCAATAGATAGGTTCAAAGCTTGACTTGTTGCTAAGGGTTTTGAACAAAGAAGTGGTATTGATTTTCATGAAACATTTAGTCCAACAATCAAACCGACCACTGTTCGAGTTATTTTATCATTGGTCGTTACATTTAATTGGCCAATTCGACAATTAGATGTTTCGAATGCATTTTTAAATGGGGTTTTGGAAGAGGAGGTTTTTATGAAGCAACCACGTGGCTTTGTCGATGACACACATCCAGATTATGTTTGTAGACTCCATAAGTCACAGTATGGACTAAAACAAGCTCCGAGAGCTTGGTTTAATCATTTAACACATCAGCTATTGGAAATTGGTTTTGTTGAGTCTTCTGTTGATTATTCATTGTTCACTTATCATTAGAATGACATTACATTGTTTATTTTAGTCTATGTTGATGATATTATCGTCACTGGATCTTCCCCTTCTGCAATTCTTGATCTGAGTGCAAGGTCAGGTACAGCATTTCATCTTAAAGATCTTGGTCAGCTGCATTATTTTTTAGGAGTTCAAGCTATGCGAGATTCTACAGGACTACATCTAAGACAATCAAAGTACATTATGGATTTATTGGATCGAACAAAGATGGCCGGTGCCAAGCCGTTGTCCTCACCAACTGTGTCTAGTAGCAAACTTTCAGTTGCTGATGGGGATCCATTGCCTAATCCTACTGAATACAGACAAGTTGTTGGCTCTCTACAGTATTGTACAATTACACGGCCTGATATTGCCTATGCCGTTAATCAACTATGTCAATTTATGGACACTCCACATCAGCCACATTGGACTGTAGCTAAGCGTGTCCTACGCTACTTAAAGGACAGTGTTGATTTTGGTCTATTTTATCAGCCCTCTACTGTTCGATTACATGCTTATTGTGATTCTGATTGGGCCGGTAATCCCGATGATCGTAGATTGACTAGTGGATATAGTGTGTTTCTTGGCAACAATTTAATCTCTTGGAGTTCTAAGAAACAATTGGTTTTCTCTCGTTCTAGCACAGAATCAGAGTATCGTTCGATGGCTCTAGCTATTGCAGAATTATATTGGCTACGAATGGTTTTCCATGATCTAAAAGTCTCTCTTCCAGANCATATAAATTGTAACCAGACTTAACCTTCAAAGAAAAAGCCAGCTGAAATCCTAGCTCGACAAGTGAAACAACTTTAAAAAAAGTCAATTCCATTAGTAAAACTTATATGGAAGAGTGAAGCAATTGAAGAGTCCACGTGAGAGTGTGAATCGATTATGTGCAAAAAATATCCAGAATTTTCAGGTAAATTCCGAGGACAAAATTTTATGAGGGAAGATTGTAATATTCCTAAATTTTATTTATCAATTGAAGAAAAAAATGTTACTAGAATTTCAAACATTTTATGAATGACTAAAGGGAGATTTTTCTATTTGACCTATCACTATTCCTTTTTATGGAAAGGTCTATATTACCCTTAATGAAATGATTCTTTCTATATTGCAACATATGTCCTAACATTTTATCTTCTGCTATTTCCCATGACTAAATTATCATATATTAGAAATGTAAAATAACATGTAGTTATGAATAGTTAATTAAGATAAATAAATAAATAATAAACACAAATGGATGATCAAGCTATTTGCAAAATTTATGGATTAAGTTAGTGTGAACACAATTGGATGATTCAACTACTTCCTGAAGATATCGTCTATATTTACTATCTTTAAAACATAAAATGAACACATATGGATAATCCAGCAGCTTTCTAAAGTTGTGGCCTATTTTGCTATCTTAAGGACTAAGGAAGTGAACACATAGGGATGATGCAACAGCTTTCTAAAGTTGTGGCATATTTTGCCATATCAAAGACTAAGAAGTGAACACATGGGTATGATCCAATAGCTTGCTAAGGTTGTGGTCTAGTTTCTTATCTTAAAGACTAAGGAAGTAAGGTAAAAAAAAAAAATTTTAATCTTACCTCGAAATCAACTAATGGGAAGGAGCTATGAAAGATAGAAATGGTCCTATTCAAATCTTAAAATTTTCTTCCCTTTTTTTTGACAAAGACATCCATACATCCTAAGTGAGTTTTTATGATCCACCAAGGAAAATTTGTGGAGGTTAAGGATTCTCCTGAATACAACATAGCAACAAATGTCAAAACGTAAAAAAAAATAAAAATAAATTAGGATGTATTACTTTCCATATAAAGAAAGCATTTATCTAAATGCAAACTAGTCTATAAACCTCTAACGTCAGGGCAGTCGATGTTTGTCAATTTGTACGAGTGCCCTAATCTGTAGAGGTAGGTTAAGTGATCCATATTCCAGATAGTGGCGCTAATCTCAACCCTCTGAAGCAAGTAAGTCTACAACCTAGTTTCATCCTACGTAGATGTAGGAAATCGTGTCTTTGTTAAAGGAGATGAGGGCTCTAATCTGTCTAAGAATGTTCTGAATTGTCCATGGTTCTCCATCCCTTGTAATGCAGTGAATAACCGTAGTCAAATCTTTCTCAACCCAAATAGCTGAAATACCAAGTCCTCTAGACAATAGAATCACATCCAATATAGCTCTAAGCTCGGCCTCCAAAATTAGATATGGGCCATATGATGATGAAAATGCTTTGATGCAATACCTTGTATGGTTTCTAATGATTCCTCCATTACTCGTAAAACCATCCTTGATACATCCATAAGTATTGATCTTGTAAGATTCCACTGGTGGAGTGTGCCACACACCAAAATATGTGGTGATGAGGGAGAGTCGTAGAAATACCGAAGAGGGTTGAATGACTTAAATCCTCTCGCCAATGCAAAGCTCTAAACAATCTTTCCACGTGAAGAAAAGAGATCATGTGGTAGACTCTCCAGATGATACGTCTGGGCACCATATGTATCTTCGTGTATTGCTCATCATTCCTTTCAATTCATATAAACTAGAATATCAGTAAATGAGTGATAATGCGAATATGTCTACTTCGTACATGCTATCCAAAATAATGCTATCTCTGGAATCTTTATTTTATGCTCTCTTCTAGTGTCATAGGTACCTGAAAAATGCCTCCAAAATGATGCCATACATGGTCGGAGATCCTACTACCTATGAAAAGGTGATTGATGGTCTAATCTCATAACAACACTAACATCATGTGGCTAAATGACATCAATGTGCCTATATATGACAACATCTACTGGAATAAGATCTTGCCATAGTCTCCAGTAGATGAATGAGACTACGATATGAAGAACAGAGGTCTATAATAATGAAATGAGTCCTGAGCCTATCTACCTTACTGGACTAAATGCTATGCTGACTTGGTAGTAAAGCTACCATCATCAGTGTCCATCCAAAAAATGTCCTGTATGCGGCCTTCATATAAATTAATGGCCTTAATATGCTTTACAATATAAGGTGGAAAAGCCTGTAATAATCATCCAAAATCCTACCCAGCGCTATCAAAGAAGTATTGTACCTTTACAAATGTGTACTGCCTATGTGAAAATAAGGATGCCAAAGTCGTATATCATATCCAACAATCATGTTAGAAGAAAATATGGCTGGCTCTAAGATGCCACGCTATGTATGGCTCATGGCCCAACTAACTTCAACATCTTCAAGATAAGATAGGCTAAACATGGAATTGCTGCAAGTGATAGATATGTTCCTATGTAATATTTGCACAGTGAGAACTGAGCCCTTAGAGATCTCTGAGACCAAAACAACAACCAAAGCTTCATGGAGAAAGTGTCCACCACGTCCTCTAAACTCCTGAAGCCTAGTTTATCCTCTTATTAGTTGGAAGGCAAAATCTTTCCATCTCCTCCAATTAAATGACGCGCCTAATCTTTAGTTTTCCATAGGAACCTTACAAAAATGCTCTCCAATTTCTTCAATACAGTCTTGAGAGGTTCCATAATCTGGAGAAGATAAATTGGTATAGAGGATAGTATAGTCCCTCAACATAGTAATCCGTCTTCTATAGGAAAGTAGTGTAAAGCACAGCTTGAAATCCTACTTCGACCTTCTAAATGAGGTCATCATAAAGAAAGCCCCTCTTGGTCCCCTAAGAAAAAGGAACACCAAATAAGTGAATACTTGCTGTTGATGCATAAATCTAGTCAAGAACACAAGTCTCATGATCTGAATATCATCTCGGTAGTATAAGATCACTCTTATTTCTATTCACCAACTGGCCAGAGACCTCTCATAATGCTCCAAACAGTCAAGGACCATTTCGATAGACTATTTCAAGTCGTTGGTAAAAATGATCATATTGTTAACAAATGATATATTTGAGATAAGAATACTAACTCCATGTCGATAATGCATACAAGGATAGGCCTGGAACCTCTGAATGAGCAGATGTGGAAAATAATTCTCATGTGATTTGGATTACCCTGTCAGAGACTGCATGATGATGAGAAAAAACCAAAAAGACAGCCATTTAGAAGCACCGAGAGCTGACACTCCAATATGCACCGTTTAATCTTATCATTCCATAACTGATCAAATCCAAATGCCACAAGTATAGCATTTATAAATCCCCAATCCATGCGATCGTCTGCCTTAGCCATATCAAGCTTCAGCACAGTATTTTTCTCTCATATTTTATTATCCAAATTGTAAATAAGTTCCTAAGTTGACAAACATATTATTCGTAGTAAGGTAACCAGAGATAAAACCACTCTGTTGAGGAGAAGAATGCATGACAGTAGTGAACTCAATCTGGTGTTCAAGAGCTTGGTGACAAGCTTATTGAACACCGTACATAGACTGATAGGTCCAAAATCCATCTATTCAAAGAAATTCTCATTCTTCGAGAGCAAGATAACAGAGGTAGCAGGGAAATCACGAGGCAAGTGACTTCCTTCAAAGAAATCAATGACTCTCCTATGCACATCATCTTGTTTAATATCCCAACAATGCTGAACAATAAGGATGATAACCTATTAGAGCTTGTAGCACTTTCAGTGTCAATACTAAAAATCACCTTCCGTATCTTATGAATAAAAGGGAGGTGATTTAGTGTCATATAATCTTCCTCCATCAGTAGCCTAGGAATGATATCTGGATGGATGGTGTCCAGAGGATGTGAAGGAATAGATAGTAGATTCGAGAAAAATGATATAGTCGAATTTAGAATGTTAGCAGAAGTAGATAAAATTTTTATTGCATAAGTCCTAATAGTCCTAAAATGAAATCTTACCGGTCCTTGGTTTATCACATAGAAATATCAAGTTTTGTGGTCCTCCTCAAGACCCAACATAAAACGACCTTTTACTTCCGAAGGCCTTCCATAATGGATGAGGTCCAATTTAGTTCAGCTTGTGCATGATGCAATAAATCACGATGTTTCGATGTAGGATGAACCTCTTAATCAATCTTTGACTAATCGACCTTCTCCTCAACGTCCTTCACCTGCTGGAATACATTCTTGAATACACGTTGATTCCTTCAATGCAGTCCCTGTTTTAACCTGAATAACTTCTCATAAAAAGCAGACATTCTTTAAGATGAGTAGGAAGTGGCCATTTCTGAGAGAAGAAGGTTGAAAAGTCATGGTGCTTGATCCCAATATTGAGGAATCGAAAGGGGCTAGCCCCAAATCATCATCGGAAGTCCACTGTAGAAGTAAACACTAGTGAGTGGTCTGATGAAGTTCGATTCAAATGCTTCACTTAAGTTGTTGACAGAAAACTACAGTTGTAGAATTAATCAAAACTCTATCTAATCTCTTCATAACCAGACCATTGATTCGACCATAGGTCTATTTATACTGACTTTCCTAGAAATCAGCGTTTTCGATCCCACAATCTCACATCATATCAAAGAAAACGGTATTACCTCGATGACGAAATGTTGTGACCAATGGTGATGTGGATGGGGGTTTTCGAGGAATACAACTAACCTCTGGATTTTTTCAAATTTGGCGAGTATCTGGAATAACTAGTGATACAACTCTATTGTACCGCAATTGGTGCATTGGTCTTTGCAGCGTTAATGCTTTTTACTGGTTGGTTTCATTATCATAGAGCAGCTCCAAAATTGGTAGGGTTTCAATAGATCGATTTTGTTGGAAAATTCAAGTTATGACAATAAATCCAATTTACTAATTGTAAAATGGTTAATTACTTGAATGTTTCAACAGAATCATTTTCCTATATAAATAGGTTAGAACCAGAGAAGGGGTCAGATTTATTCAAAGGAAGCAAGAGTAACAATACAGTTTATAATGCTATAACAACATGTATAGTAAGCAAAATCATTTTAATTTGTACAAGTTAATGACTCGAGTTGTGATAATTTGTAAAATACATATGCTTTTGATAAGTACAATAAGTCATGAAAAATATGTGAATTCATCTCACTCTTACTAATATTATAAAGTGACTTTTTTATAGTAAAAATAAACTCAATTGGATTTTAAGTTTTTTTATTAAAGTTTAGTAATAGACCGCTTCTTCCAAAGCACACCTCATTCGTTCCACTCACAATAATCCAATTAATTCTCTGGGTGAAAAAACATTAGACATGCCAAAAGATGTGGTCAAGACCCTTAACCCAAGTTGATTCACGACGTTTTTTAAATCTTCATCGCGTCCAAGTAGAGACCAAAGATCTTGACCCACCGATCCTACAAAACAACTCAAAAATAAAGAAGTATCGTTAATTTCTTCATGCTGGTTCAAAGTTTCCAATAAAAATGGGTTGTTCTTGCTTATCCCTACTAGTTTTCCAATTTAATCCCTGGACACATATAATTCCGAAGAATATGTGAGTGATTCATACACACTATCTCACATAAAGATTTCTTTCAAATATAAATTTCAAGTAAGTCGTATCTTGCACGGACCAATAAATAGAGTTGAAGTTATGGTTAAACCCGCTAGTAAAAAATCAAAATAACTAGTGATAGTAAGCATGAAGGAGCTAAATGAAATATGTTATTTTTATCAATTCATCCTATTACTACAGGGATGAACCCAATCCGGAATATGAACCATAAAAGAAAATACCTACTAAACCAGTCACTAGAAACCTTTCTTCCAAGTCAAAAGATAAGAGCCATTTCCATTACCTTCCTTTATTTACAGATCAATATGAATTTATATTCATCTAAATACAAAAAATGTTAATCATTTCAATTAAATATTTTTTATCCTTTTATTCGTGAGGAGCTGGATGACAAGAAACTCTCACATCTTATTCTGTAGGAGAGATGGAATTGTTAAATAGCCATCCTGATACCTCCCAAGGAAAATATCAAATGGGTCCTAAATTGACAAGTCAGTGTGAGCTTCCCTAAATATCAAAGAGAATGAACATATGATAAAAAGCCCACCCAACTTATGTGGATTCAAACTCTTTTGTTTTGATCCATTTCTCATCATACCTGATAAAAAATAGATTTAGATTTCATTGCTCCGACCTAGAATACGATTAATCTGGCATGGGCTACATGAGCTCCTAGTAGTTTACTGGATAAATTACTATGCAAAATTTCCCCAAAAAAAGAAAATAGGGGATCCTTTTCTATCAGATATGAAGGGTTGTAGCACAAAATGTACTTTTAAGTAATTGTCCCTCATGGGGAAGAAGTCTTGTCGTATTAGGCACTAATATATTTTTAATGTCTAATTAGATCGAGAAATTATTCAAATTTAAGAACAGAAGCTGGTTGCTTTTTCTTTCCCATAATTAATTGAATGAGCCTTTCAAACCTGGCTTATTGCTATTGACTCGATGATCCCTATAAGATGTGGTCAGCGAAAATTAATTATTGGGGACAAACGGACCGGTAAAATAGCAGTAGCTATAGATACGATTCTCAATCAACATGGTTAAAATGTGGAGTTATACATTTGTGTGTTGATAAGAACATTCACTATTTTTTGAAACTCAATCTCTCCGCCCCAAAGACCGAGACTTGTTGGTTGTAAGAGATATAAATCCGCCTGTCCAACGGATTTCTTGAGCGTTCAAGTTTGTTAACAAAATGTTTCTTGAAATTATGGCTCTCATTGAAGCATTTGTATCTATATGCATTAGGATCCTGATTTATGGATTTTTCGAAACACTTTGTTCTTCAAAATATCCAATTCCTTGCGGATTCTTCCCCCAACTAAGGAAGGGATCTTGACAGAATAGCCACATATGAAATTGAACACAATTTTGCAAAGAAATAGCCCATTTGTTTCTCAAGATACTTCTAATGGGTTGAAAACCATATCAACAAGTCTTCTATCTTGCAAATAAGGCATATCTTGTCTAGGCAAAATTTTGGAAATTATACTTTTATTTCCATGTCTTCCAGTCATATTCTTTCTTTTCTATCAATTTGTAATTTTGATATTTCTCCCCAATCTGATATTATAGTGCTGGTATAGATTGAAATTTCGTATCAAATTTTGATCAGTAATAAACATCGGGGCTTTGCAATATTTGATTGATTATAATTCTATGTGTTCCATTTACTATATAAGTTATGAGGAATTCATTAGAAGAATGTTTCCAATAAAATTGGTTTGTTCTTGCATATCCTTACTAATTTTCCAAATTAATCCCCTCGGTACATCAGAAGAATATGTAAGTGCCTTTCCATAGAGTCCCCCCTCCCCCACCCCCAATTTGTTTGCATAAAAATACAATAGATAGATAGTCATTCTATCTTTAAAAAAAATTATTTTAATATCTTAAATTCTTATCAAAATGAACATAGGAATCCACTCACGTGAAAAATGATTTTCTTTTGTGGGAATCTAGGGTAAGACTTTACTATATATGAATATGATAGAATTCCCTATACACACACACACATAAATATATTTATATATAACCGGCCAGAAGAGTTCTCTATCTCTTCTACAGGAAGGATTGAATCGGTCGATCAATCCCTTCTTCCTCACCTACGGATGGGAAGGAAAAAGATAAGTTATTCGTTTGCCATCTCAGAACTTTTTTTGTAAAATCTTGTCTAATAAGTAACTAATATTAAGTAATAAATTAAGGTTCTATTCCAACACAGAACGAAAAGGAAAATATACAGGATGGGTAGAAAGATTTGTGATACTTCGCTTGATTCAGGGAAACAACAGGTTGAAGGCTATTCATGTACCTTTATCTTTGGAGGCTCAAGTGAAGGCCCGTTTTCTCATATGAATCTTTTGTCTCTAGCTATTGGGATCCCATTTCCATACCAACTCAAGATAAGCTTATTTGACTCTATGTATTAACAAGTGGGAATCTCTTGCAATCAACACAATCCTCGGTCATTGGATCAGAAGTAATTTGTTTAACTTCATCCGTCCCAGGGTATCATTTCTAATACATAAGTGGGACATGCTCGGGCACATTGGTAATTAATTGTTGTTGTTTCAATGTCAATTTATTCACTCGTCTAGATAATATTTTTCCTTGTTCACTAATAAATTGACTATGAATCTATTTGATTCAAAAGGGAAGAACTTGCATTAGTATCTCAATTTCAATTCAAACACAGATTTGATTTGAATTTTCATTTTATTTTATAAGGCTAAGGGCTATACGGACTCGAATCGTAGACCTTCTCGGTACAAAACAAAATAAAGATTTTTTAGAACGTTCCAAAAAAATAATTTTTTACAAAAAATGTTAATCATTTCAATTAAATGTTTTTAATCCTTTTATTCGTGAGTATCTAGATGAGAAGAAACTCTCATATCCAGTTCGGCTAGCCCTTGGAACATATTACATCCCTAGGTGGCGAAGAGCTAACATCGAGGTGCCAAACCTTCCTGTTGATCCCTAGAGGAAC